AAAAAAAAAAAAGGAAAAAGAAATAAGGAAGAGAAAAAATCAAAAAAAACATTTTTTCTTTTTTGATCTAGTTAAACCAACTGTGAAAAATGATGAAATTGTTTTACCGATTCTTCTTTGCTTCTCCTCATTCTTCTTCTTCTTGATCTTCTTCTCTACTTTATCTTTTTCGCTTTTCTTCACTTGTTTAGGTCTTCTTGACCATATTTATAGACGGATATCAATGTTTCCAACTGGGTATCTGCATTGTTGAAAATTTTGTTTTTACAACATAACACTTCTCCACTTCGTTTTTTTACCTTTCCTCCGTTTACTCTCAGACAGTTGTCCAGGGAATTGTAAAATAGAGAAAGAAGAAGAACTTAGTAAAAACGAAAACAAATGCTATCTGTAAGACAATATTTGTATAGATTGTTTTCTGCTAATTAAATTTACAATTTTACTGTTATGTTAGGCAAAAAAAAAGGACTATGGATATAATTTGGAATTTCGCTGAACTTATTTGGCCAAGACTACGAGAAATAATGTCTTATGAAGTATTGAATTTTTTCATTCTTTATCTGTACTGTTTTTTTGTCACAAATCATTTGGTTTTTTTTTTTGCTTTCTTTTAATTGCCTAAAATAACAGTTATTATTTGGCAAAAGGGTCAACTGTTATGAAGAACAAAAGATGTGAAGATGTGTCATTGTTGTTGTTGTTTTTTTTAATTGTTCCAACAAATTGTTTTATGGAAATTGTTCAGCAATAAATTAGAAACATTGTTATACATCTGTAACAATATGATGTTGACATCTTTTTTTTTTTGCTGGTTAATCACTGAATACGTTAAAAAAAGAAGCTAATATACAGAACATCATTGTTGACTTCTCCTAAGTTCATCTGCATCGTCTTCATTGTAATCAAATTATTGCTATTTAAGGGTACAGTTTAGAAGAGGCAAAATAATAAAAATGATTGAATAATTTGTTCAATAGTTGACAATCTAAAAATGCAGCAGAAAAATAAAAAAACTTTTGCTCAATTTAAATCTACGACAAAAAAAAAAGATACTTGACAATTGTACAATCCAAATACTTAGAGCAACAGTCAATTTCTATTGCTTCTATTGTTCACTGGTAAAACTGTCGACGATGAACAAATGGCGACCGTGTGACTCTGCGTGCTCCATGTAACATCAATTGTAAAAAAGTCTACAAGAATCTGCAGCAGAAACTGTATGCTTAACTGATATCAACCAACAGCATTTATTTTACCTTAAAGCTACAGTAAAAATAATCTATTTTCTAAGAAGCTTCAGTTCCATTGGTTTATAG